GCAGCCAGCAGAATCCCTAGAATTTTAGTCTAGTTATATACCACCCCGAAACCCTATCCTAACTATTAACGCCCTTTCATTACTTGTTTAGGGTTTAGGTTCAAGCCTTTCTTCGAGGTTTAGTTGGGGCTTCGAAGCTCCGGACAACGTCTGTAGAAGCCTCAGAGGAAAATCTTATAGCAGGTCTATGAAGGCACTACAACATCTCCAAGAGAAAAGACCGGATAACAGCCTATACATATATCCTGGTTTAGCTAATGTCTGACAAGGACCTTAAGTTAAGAACACAAGCTTTAGCAAAAGCCGTATCCGTGCTTCTTACCACCCTAAACCCTAAACCCTAGTACCCTAAAGCCTAAACCCTAAACCCTAAACCCAACCTTAAACCCTAAACCTTAAGAACAAAAGCCGCAACCGTGGCTTCTTACCATCTCAAAAATTGCAGCGGCGGAATTTTTGCGAAGGCTCGGAGGCCACGACGGTGTACTTCGCCCTGGCCGATCGAGAGGAGGCCAGTCCTGGGGTTCGGCCTCTGTCAAAGAAGCGCAGTGCCTTCTTGAGGGTTTAGGGCTTTAGGGCTTTAGGGCCTTAGGGCCTTTAGGGTTTAGGGCTTTAGGGTTTAGGGGTTTAGGGGTTTAGGGTTTAGGGTTGAGGGCTTTAGGGCTTTAGGGCTTTAGGGGTTTATGGTTTAGGGTTTAGGGCTTTAGGGCTTTAGGGGTTTAGGGTTTAGGGTTTAGGGCTTTAGGCCCGAGCGAAGTGAATATTGCCGCGTCTAGGTTACCGATGTACAGTCGGCAGTGTTTGGCGCTACGAAAAAAGGGGCCCTGGAACATCTGGCCGAAAAACTAGGTTGTGAAACCCTAACTAAACCTTAAACCACCACTAAAGAGCAACTGCAGGGTTTGGATATATGCAGGATAATCCCTCAATCCCAAAGTTGTGTAGTGATTTGACTCCAAACAATAACAGTAAGAATCGAGAAGCAATCACACTAAGAATGCGGGCTTTGGGGAACATTCCAGTATATTCTAGCGTAGTTGTATGGGTACATTCTTGCTAGTTATCTAAACCCCTGTCTGTTGTCTGGACCCTAAACCCTAAACCCTAAACCCCAAACCCCCTATACCCTAAACCCGAACCAGGAGGACGAGCCGAACGTCCAGGACTTTGTAGATTTCGCTGGGCTCTTAGACTGTGCGGCCCGGTGTTTTCCTAAGCCCGAAACTGGTCGAGGGTTCAGGGTTTAGCAGCCCTAGGCCGTTCTTAAACCCCTAATAAACCTACATTCCTGAGGGATTGTGGGGCGGTTTCGGGCTGAGGAACTTTATGAATAGGTAGGTGTTTAGGGTTGCAGGTCAATCTTCAGGACTCTAAACCCCAAAACCCTGGACCGTTTCGTGATCAACCCTAAACCTTCATAAACCCTAAGCCCTAAGTCCTAAGCCCTAAACCCTAAACCCGAATAACCTGAACCCTAAACCCTAAACCTTCTTTTGGAACTTTGTGTTGCAGTTGGGTTTCATGGTTGAGAGGCTTTATAGGAGGAGTCCTGGGTTGAGGGTTTAGGGGTTTAGGGTTTAGGGTTTAGGGTTTAGGGTTTAGGGTTTGGGGTGCCGGGGTCTTTTAATGTGGTATACGGGTACCGTAAACCCTAAACCCTAAACCCCATAATATGAGCTATCTAGAGGGGTTGTAGGACCTATTGGATTTTACCAAGGTGGTTTAGGGCTCTTACACTAAATGTCTTAAATCTTGAGGTTTTAACCTAGGCCCCAGATTAATTAGCCCCCTTGCATGCTTCGTCTCGGGATCCGTGCTGCTACAATAGCACAGATTCTTGTGAGTTTCGGTTTAGGGTGTGGGGATACCAAACCTGCCGTAAGCCAGTCTCATCTCTCCAAAGATATCCGTCATTCTTAGGTGTGCCTCTGCACATTGGGCTTCGACATGTCATGCACGGTCTTGGGCCATAACAACACATGGATGGCAGAGCTGAGATCCGAAGGCACTTCTTCCCCTCGAGGTTTAGGGTTTAGGAGTTTAGGGGTTTAGGGTTTAGGGGTTTAGAGTTCAGGATTTAGGATTTAGGGTTTAGGGTAGGGACTCCGTCGCTCTGCTGCGCTCCCGGCTCTGCGCACCACGCGGTGCTAGCAGACGGCCTACTTGATACTGCTACCCTAAACCCTAAACCCCTTAGTTCTCCAATAACCAACCTTTAAACCTTTTGGGGCTCTTCTAATGTAATACTAATGTGAAAGTTTAACCTTTCATCTTCCTGGCTTTATAGGGGAAGGAAGACCCTGAACCGCACAATCACCAACACAGCACCTGATCTTTGGAGCTTCAGGTCTAGGTGGGAGGGTTTGGGCCGCGGATAGTGCCCTGCGCGTCCTGCTTGATTGATGCGTACTACTAGCATTATCACCAACATTAGTCGTACCGCCATGTTCCGATATGCCTGCACCGAGTAAAGTTCGTCCAGGCTGTATGACTTGGGGATTTAAGGTTTAGGTAATCTCGGTCAGCGCAGGGCGTGACCGTCTACGATGGGAATTCAGCTTGGAGCCCCCTATGGGCAATTCTATTGGTGAGCTCTCCGTTTAGACTATCGTACTTGACTCGAGTCCTGCTACCCGACACTACGGAGCAACAGTGTGAGACACAGTCCAGATAGAGGGAAGCTGCAGCAATGGATGGTGTTCGTGTGTTCCATGATGAGCGGGTTGGATATCGCTGGTTGGATTCGGAGGCCTTGGACATTTGGTGCCAAGAGGAGCCCACGCTGCGCACGTCTAGGCAGATCTGGGCTGACTTTGAGAAACTAGGTTGTTCAGTGGCATACGTTTTTACTTCTCCGTTTCTGGGTTCCTCTTATAATATTGCTAGCCACAAAGAGCATATGCTTGTTCTCCATGGGGGTACTGAAGAGCCGAGGCACAGGGGGTGCAGTCAGCAGGATGCTTCTTTCCCAGGCTTCCAGCTCTGGGGAAAAGAAATCCGCTGCTACCGAGTCCAGGTTCGGAAGGCCACCACCCCCGGAAAAAATAAGGCTTCAAGGGACGCTGTGAGTTTGAAGGTGGGCTGGGGATCTAATGAATCCAACCTCCACCCCGGCCGTTGGGACACCACGTCCCTCTGCATCTCCGGCTGCGGCACGACCTGCCATGGCGGGTATGGCCGACCGTGGTATTGCGTCGGTGATCGTTACGGCGCCTTGCTTGATTGGAAAGCTTTGGTTCGGTTATGGCATCGGTGTTTTCACGAGTCATCAGTAGTATTGATAAGACAGGAACCATCAGCGGACCTCTAAACCCTAAGCCTGCGACCCAGCGGGGAGAGCATGGGCCTAGCAATGTTGCACATGAAGCCTCTCCAGTGCCAGGCAAATACAAGCCATACTTCGAGGCAGGGTATACGATCGAGACGGGTGTGAGGCTCAACCAGAAGGGCACTATAGACATCTACTACCGAGTGAACGACGGGTATGCTGGATGGGATGTTGCTTCTCCCCAAGCCACGCTCGAGTCGGGTGCTGCCTTCACGATTCCGTGGAAAGGGGGCGAAAGTCTGCTTCCTTCCGTGGCCGGCGGCATCAACTTTGGACCAGAATGGGAAGTGACGGTTGACTTCAACTGCTCTCCAGACTTTAAAGAGTTGCTCGGGATCTCCTCTCCTCTCGCGCCACCTGCGAAGCGGCAGAGACTCGACGATGCATCGAGCTCAGATGCGCGAAAGAAATGTGCTGAATGCGGCGAGGAGGGGGGGCCAGAGGCCAAATTCTGCAGTCAGTGCGGCCACCGCTTCGACAACTCAACCGATGTAGAGGTGATCAGCTTTACTCTCGATGGCGAGGAGGCCGACGATGGGCAGAGGGTGTTAGGGAGCCTGAGAGGCTTGGTTCCTCAATTTTTTTTTCAGTTCGGGGTTTTCGAGTTACAGTTTTGGGGGGAGGGGGGGGGGGCCTGGGGCTTTTTGCAGCCTGCGATGGAAGCGTACTTTTATGCCTACATGAGGTATTCACAGTAGTCGTAGCCCTACTTAGAACTATGCATGAACCCTGTGGTAAGATTTCCACGAAGGGACGCAAGCAGGCAATATCATCAAGCGTTGCAAGGCAGTTTCGCAGACACACAGGAGCTGTAGTATCGACCCTGTAACATACGACTTTTCTTTTTGAGAACTTCTGATACCAAGAAGAAGCAGCTGATCCTCACAATAAATGCAACGTACCTCAGATTAGATGCTGAGGACTCGGTCAGGGAAGGCTGAGTAAATTTTGCTGGTTTCCCGTCAGTTCAGGAGTACTAGGAAGCCGGTTTGAACTTCGAAGCCAAATCTAGAGGGTCAATATATATGTATATATGTGTATGCATATCTGTACATATATATATATGTATATATATATATACTTTTTCTGATTGCTCAAATCCCCCTCCTGAATAGTTTGGATTAAAATGAAGGATCCGAGTATGAATGCCCGTATAGCAACGAGGTTGATCCCTCACCTGAACCCTAAACCCTAAACTACCCTAAGCCCTAAATCCCCAAACCCTAAGCTGCTCTAAGCCCTAAACCCTTAACCCTAAACTGCCCTAAGCCCTAAAGCCCTAAACCCTAAGCTGCTCTAAGCCCTAAATCCCTTAACCCTAAGCTGCCCTAAGCCCTAAAGCCCTAAACCCTAAAGCCCTAAACCTCTAAACTCTAAGCCCTAAACTGCCCTAAGCCCTAAACCCCTACAACCCTAAACCCCAAACCTCGAGGGTGTCCCATGAACCAGTAGGATGCCGACCTTAGTCCCTCCTAAACCGTAAATCCCCTGAGCCCTAAACCTATTTGGAGGTTCATGGGGTTTAGGGTTTAGGGTTTGGGGGTTTAGGGTTTAGTGTTTAGGGTTCAGGGTTTAGGGTTTAGGGTTTAGTAGGGTTTAGGGTAGTTATAAGTGGGGTTATAAGTTGAGTAGCTGTAATTATAACCCATATGATAGGGGACTTATGACCCCATTCATAGCTACCCATGAACCTCCAAGTCTAGGACTCTTGAAAAAGGTGGTAGCATTGAGACGAAAGCTGCAAAGCCTTCAGAGCTCTGGGCGTGGAGGTTTTGAGGGTTAGGGGAGAGGGTTCCAAAAAGGTTGCCTGCCTGACAGATCTTGGGGGGGGGGGGGGGGGTGCAAAACGGTTTGAATTCAGATGTCGGGACGGTTCAACATAGGGAAGGTAGTGAGCAGAATAAAAGTCTTGAGGTACCGCATGTAGAGTAGTACAGTTGCGTCGGGAGTGCGAGGTGACATCATTACCCATTCTTCTGCCCCGACCAGGTCCTCTTCAACGAAGATGATTGGGAAGAGTTTAGACGAATTGTCTGCGAAAGGGCCAGGGCCATAGACGTGAAGCGCGAAGATGGCTACCAGAAGAGGAGTGACGTCGTCGAAGTGAATTTGGACCAAGTTCGATGCCTGCAGACGAACATCAGCAGATGCTTCAGGAACGGACAGCCCATTCAAGGCTTAATAGAGAAGCTGGAAAAAAGGGACGTTCATCCGCGCCACACAGACTGGCTTATCCTCAGAATTGCCAAAGCATGCTGGTATGACAGAGCCCAAAGACGCAGTGTTGAAAAGTATTACACGTTCGATCATCGACGCTTGTGGTGTCTTTGGAAGACTGGATTCACGAAGGTCCGTGCCAGGATCGAGTTCGACGGCCCGCTATTTAACGAGTTCATGCGTAAAGCAGCTTCTAGCTTTGAGGGTACACATCCGAAGGATTTGCGTATCGGTCGCAGATGATCGACAGCGTGGCTGTAGAGATCAAAATGGAAGACGCCTCCCCATGTTGCTATGAGGGTTCGGGCAGATTATAGAGTTAGAAAGTTACGACATGGGTAGTTCTCTAAATTAGGGTCCCTTTTGGGTCCACAATATAATATAGTACGGCACCCTTATAAAAAGGACCCCAAAAGGGACCCTACTTTAGAGAACTGGGAAAGTTCTTGAACTCATCGTGGGAAGCCCCATTTAGGTTCAAAGGTTTAGGGTTTTTGCCCTAAGCCCTAAACCCCAAGGGGAAACTACGGTTCTAGGGAGTTCTGGGCACCATTGCGGCTGTGAGTTGACTAGAATCTTGCACCCTGTACCTTATTTAGGGTTGAGCGTTTAGTAGGGTTTAGACCCTGAAACAACACCCTAAGCTCATTTAGTAGGGGTTTAGTAGGGGTTTAGTAGGGTTTTACTAGGGTTTAGTAGGGTTTTAATAGAGTTTTAGAGGGTTTAGTAGGGTTTGAGTAGGTTCCTTAAGGACGAAACGACCCTTAAAAGTAGGG